GCCTTCCCTCTGAGATTCGTCAGTTTGTTCCATGCTTCTGTGTCTCTGGATCTGTTTTGTTCATTTNCACCCCTGCCTTCCCTCTGAGATTCGTCAGTTTGTTCCATGCTTCTGTGTCTCTGGATCTATTTTGTTCATTTGAGTAAAATTATGTGATACTTGTCTTTCTCTGACTGGCTTATTTCACTTAGCATAATACTCTCCGGGTCCCTCCCTGCTGTCCCAAAGGGTAAGGGATACTTCGTTTTTCACAGCTTCCATAGTATTCTATGGGGTAAATGTCCGAGAAGATGCTTGATATGATTTCAATCTTCTTGAACTTGTAGAGACTTGTTTTGTGTCCTAACATGTGGTCTATCTTTGAGAATGTCCCTTGTGCACTTGAGGAGAATGCATATTCTGTAGCTTTGAGGTGAAATGTTCTGTAAATATCAACTAAATCCATCTTACCTAGTGTGCCATTCAGAGTCACTGTTTCCTTGTTGATTTTTTTTGTATGGAAGCTCACCTTTGGCATGGCTAAGTCTTGGGGTAAAGAATTCAAGTCGCATCTTGAAAAGGAGTGGCTGCCATCTGTCCTTCCAAACAAACAGACGGGTGGTGAGCCAGATTGGGAAACAAAGGCATAAAGTGTGTTCTGGGAGGAGGGGAATCTGTCAGTGTGGCGCTGGGAGAGATGCTCGGTGGGGTAGCTTGCTGATCTCTAGGTGCTTTAGACAGTGCACTCCTTGAGTGAAATGTTTTGAGCCTGTGCTTCCAATACACATTTAACATTTACATATGATAGCATTTTCATAGTATTTTCATCTACCTTAATAATGACACATACAAAAGTGAAAATTTACCATCATGAGATTAGAACTACATTGTGATAGAATTTCTAAAATTTCAGATCATCTACTGTGGACTCCGCTTTGAAGACCACATACATAGTGGAAGACACAAGTGAACCTATGTGTTATAGCAAGATTGGGAGCGATCTTGATGTAATGGTATTTAGACTTTATTCTTAACTAAAAGTCAATAGTGATTCAAACATAAAAGTAACAATTAAACTGAGGAACAAAATAGATTCAACGACACAGAAGCATGGAAGACTGACGAATCTCAGAGGGAAGCTGGGGTGGGGTGGGGCTGGGGAGAGATTAACCAAAGAACTTATATGCATATATGCATAACCCATGGACACAGACAGTAGTGTGGTGAAGGCCTGGAGGTGGGTGGGGGGTGGAAGGGGTCAATGGGGAAAAAAGGGGACATCTGTAATACTTTCAAAAATAAAGATAAATAAAATACAATAAAATACATGTTTTTGAGCATTTACTATGTGCAAGGTGGGCCACTAAAATAAGTAGTGGGCCTTGATCTTCTATAATCTATGGGGATGGTGGAGACACGTGTCACTATAATACAAAATGATAATAGTACATACATTACAAAACAGTTTCATATATATTCTCTTATTTGAGCTTCACAGCATCTCTATGAGATGATGATGATGATGATGATGACAACAATAATAGTAACACAGATTCAGGGTTTGCTGACTGCCAGTGCTGCTCTGAACACTGCCCTTGTATTAATTTTATAATTCTTACAACTCTGCGGAATAAGGGTACTGAAACCCAGATCACATAGATGGCAAGTGGCAAAGCTGGAGTTTAAATGCAAGCGTTCTGGTTCTAGAAAATGCCCTTATGAGGCAAAGCAAGGAAGATCCCCTCCCTTGTTTTGCGGAAGATCATGGGTTAGGGAGTTGTGATGATAACTTTAAAATGGTGACTGGACTGGTTGAACTGTAGGGAAAGGAGCTGGGGAGAGGAGCAGGGGTTGTGAATACTGTCACAGTCTAGATGAGCTCAGTCAGGTGGAATCTAATTGTAGAAGGAAATGGAAGTGATGAGAACCTTTGCGTAGAGTTCAAATAAAGTCCAAGGCAAGGGAGTGACTCATTATTTCTACCTTCCTCAGAGGGAAGGGGAGATTTCTAACAATGATAAAGGCCCTCAACTTTATATGATCTGCCAAATAAGGAATTCAGATTCCTAGAATTGGGATGACTGAGCTAAATAGAATCAGCATTTTAAGTTTCTTAATACACATAACCAAGTTATTTTCCAGAAAGGACCAAATCAACTTACAGTTCTTACAGCAATAAAACTCTTGTCAGCATGGAGTATTCGTTTTGCTAAAATCTGCAGGCAATGGAAAAACGACCTTTTGTTTCAATTTACATTTCTTTGGTTGCTTGTGACATTGCCCATTTTTTACATTTATTCATCACTTATATATATTTTTAATTATTTTGCATTGAGATAAAATTCAGTTTACTTTTTAAAGTGTACAGTTTCGTGGCTTTTCATGCATTCACAGGTTGTGCAATCACCACCACTCTCTCCATCCAGAACATTTTCATTACCCCAAAGAGAGATGAAACTCATTAGTGGAGACTTTCTATTCCCATCACCAGAGGCTGGCAGCCACTAATCTATTTTCTGTCTCTATGGATCTGTCTTTTCTAGGCACGTCATAAAAATGGAATCATACAATAAGTAGCTTTTGTGTTGGGCTTCTTTCACTTTGCAATACGTTTTCAAGGTTAACCGTATTATGGCATGGACCACTGCTTCATTTCTTATAGATCAGTAATATTCTGTGCCATGGATATACCACATTTTGTTCACCCCTTCTCCAGGTGATGGGCCTGTGAGTTGTTTCCATTATGAGTGATGCTGCATAGTGTTGATGTACATGCTTTCGTGCTACTCTTGCATATACACCTGCAAGTGGAATCGCTGCATCATATGGTAACTCTACGTTTAACTTTCGAGGAAATGCCCAGCTGTTTCCACAGCGGCCGCACCGTTTTCCGTTCCCACTCGCAGTGAATGAGGGCTGCAGTTTCTCCACATCTGAACCAGAACTTGCTGTCTGACGTTTTCACTCCAGTCATCCCAGTGCGTGGGAAGTGGTGTCTCATTGTTTTTGGATTTGCATTTCCCTAATGGCTAATGCTCAAGCATCTTTTCATTACTGACCATTTTTACTGGCCACTTGTGTATGTTCTTTAATGAATCATCTCTTCAAATCCTCCGCTCGCTTGTAAATTGTGGTGTCTTTTTATTGTTCCATTGTGAGAATTTTTTATGTATTCTGGATCCCAGACCTTCATCAGACAGGCAGTTTGTAAACATCCTCTCCCATCCTGTGGGTAGTCTTTTCACTTTCTTTATGGGGACCCTTGAAGCACAAAAGTTTTTGTATTTTGAGGAAGCCCAATGTATGTATTATTTTTTTCGTTTGTTTTTGGTCATGCTTTTGGTCTCATATCCAAAGTCACCAAGATTTACACCTATTTTTTTCTAAGACTTTTATAGTTTAAGCTCACATTTAAGTTTTGATCCATTTTAGTTAATTTTCGTATATTCTTTTCCAGCTGTTCCTGCACCTTTGGTGAAAAGATTGCTTTCCCCATTGAATTGTCTTGGCACCTTTATTAAGTAGCAATTCAACCCAAATGTTTGGGCTTATTTCTTTCAATTCCATTCCATTGTCTATCTGACTTTCCTAATGTCAGTCCCACACAGTTTTGATCACTGTATCTCAGTAGTTAATTTTGGAATCGGAAGTGTGAGTCATCCAACTATTTTTTTTTTTTTCAAGATTGTTTTGGCTTTCATGGGTCTACATCATTTACAGTCAATTATTGATAT